AAATTTACTGGCAATGCTAGAATATTAAGAACTGAGGCCTAGATAGAAGTGATTTCAATGTGTACTAATGGCACGTAGTTTTTCAAACGGCCTTAATAGTGATATTTGTATTATAAAAATCACTGCATTATCCGGTACCTAAGTAAAATACGAACCTTGTGGTTAAATGTTAGCATAACTAAGAAAAATAGAATAATACAAATAGTAGAACACTGATTAGTATGATCTATATCATCATAAAATTATATTCCATAAATGTAAAGCGTAAATTCCAGTATTGATAAGGACATTGTACAAAAAAATACTAGAAAATACTTACCCATGGTTGCCCAACGGTACCAAATGAGTGACTAAAGGGCTATAGTTAAAATATTATATATTTATCATTAAATTATCAACTTATCTTTTCGTACCTACTACTAATATTTCGATGAACACAGCCTAATCAATAGCTTGGATGAAATCTACGATTATCAAGTAATCAGTAGATAAAGAAAATATATTTTTCATGACAGTGTTGTTATTCATTAGTAAGCATGTATACTGTTCAGATGTGTTTTAATGTATTTAAAATTCGTCATTACATTCCTTGGTCCACTTGGACGTCTTCCTGGTGCTGATGACGATGAAAATATTCGTCATTAAATGACTGCATGTTTTCTTTTGTTTCAGCTTGAACTTTAATTTCTGTCTTTAAACAGATGACATAAAAGTCAAATAATGCACGCTACAAACCTTACGATATACTGTGCAGTTTTAACCGCACAGTCAACCTGTACGGTTGAATCGTAGGATCATGTAGTCTACACACCATATAACGAACTAAGTGGCCACTGCTGACCAAAGGCCTCTTCGGTAAAGGTTTGAGCATTGATCACCACGCTTGCCCAATGTGGGTTGGCGATTTCAAACTTGTAATATACGTTATAACGGCACAGTTAAATCGTAATGAGATGATTATTAAGTATTTCATTTTCACTTTTGTACTCTAGATGAAAATTAAAATCGAATAAAGTAAAGTCCGACGTGATCCGAAGTGAAATAACGCTTAAGTTATGTTTTGTCGTGTGAGTGAGGTTACCAGAATTCCAGTTACGCCCTCTCCCCCTTCACAGTCGCTCTAATCCCCGAATTCAATCTACAATTCTCAAATTTCCAATCCCGAAAAGGGGTGTTTCAGGTGTGCATAGGCGACGCCGATTGCGTACAATTAATTGATCTGTCTGCATTAAGAGATTGTTGAATGTAAATGAAGCGAATATGTATGTCAGAATCCTGTCATGTGGTGTTCCGTCGTCTCTGTCCCCCCTAATGGGATGGTTTCATATTACATGTCTGCGTTGTGAGCTAATGAAAGTATACGGTAACAAAAATCATAATTACTTTCGTACTACAATTTGTCTTTATTACTCGTACTACGTAAACACGAAGTTTTTTACAGGTAATTATATTAATAGATGGTTTATTACAAAATACGTTGGTATTTTATAATGAAATGTAAACTAAATATGATTAAATTATGTTATAAAGTTGTATTATAAATTTACTGCGCCTATAAATAATTAATAAATTCGTTATGTCACTTGCTGATCATATTTTCGTAGGCACTTACTTTATTTCACAATATAACACCTACTTTTCACTATTTAGTTTATGAGTCCCATGTAATAGGGGGTGAGCCTATTGCCATATACCGGGCACAATTCCAGACTTCGTGCTACTACTGAGATTTTTTTAAAAAAACTCAGTAATACTTTACCCGACCCGGGATTCAAACCCGAGATCTCTTGCACGACAGTCGCATTTGTATGTACTCCACTTACAATATGTTTCTTTTTTAATTACTATATTAAAGTGAAATAATATGCTAGACTATTAACTAGATAATAATAATACATTATTTTGCTTAAAACTATGGACAGAAAAATAATAGGACTAATACTAATATTTGTCGCGATTTGCTTGAACTAGGTTTATGTAACCTGTGTTTCAAGTCATCACTTTATTACTATTGATGTTAAATCTATACAGGTTTATATTATCAACTATATAAAATTTAGAAATTATAAAACAAATTAAACTACATAGTTTTAATTATTTTAACAATTACTTTAAGTAGATACTAAAAGTAATTGATCTTAAAGACTAATAAATTAACTACGTCAGTGTCGTCAGTACATCTAAAAGTTTTTCTGTGTCATTATAATTTAATTTAAGCAAGTACTCCGTTAACGTGTTACTAAGGCTATATACATTACAAGATTTATTTATCTTATTGTACAAAAACGGTCCGAGAAAGACGTAATAGGCAAAGGCATGTGCAATAGGCATGTTTAGTTTGTCTAGTTTGGCAGACCAGATTATTCCTTTTCTTTACCAAAATTTCATGGTCATAGGTGAGTTCCGAGTGTTGAAGAAGAACGATATTTAATATACTTAATTACCGTACCGTAAAAACCTTACATGCCTTGTAGAGTTCGTAAGTAGGAAATCTAAAAGGGCGAAATGTCGCAACCTTGAGGATGGCCCTCTGAGCACGTTGTCAATTGTATATTAAAATATTTATTTATTTATTTATTTATTACACACACAAGTTAACATTACAGGTTTAGGACCCAATGCGATAACAAGGTATTATTAAATCTAGCGACTACTTACACCATATTAAACTTATACTAACGAATAAAGTAATCCAAACAATTACAGAGAAAAACAAACCTTGTATTAAATTTAATAAAATAAAGACAAATAAATAGCATTATTATTATTGTCTATCTATAACATAAATTATATAACAGAATCTTTGTGAATTCACTCGGCTGACAGGTAAAAACATCTATTTGCTCGTGCACAAGATTTATATTACGGATAGCTTGCGTAACCGCGGCTTTCGCCAGTAAGTTCGTCCTAGCCACCGGCACCGCCAACAGAGGCGGGCGCCGCCGCCTCCTTACATAGTTGTCAGGTACCCACAAACTGATTCTTTGAAGAACATCTGGGTTATGTTCCATTCCCCGAATCAATTTCACCAAATAGGTGGTAAGAGTAAACTCTCGACGCACCTTCAATTGATTGTACCCGACCATACCCAGCACAAATAACGAGGGATACATCAACGGATACAACGGGTACACTCCATACAGCTTCCAATACAGGTGACGAGTGAATTTGTTCTGAACTCGTTCTAACATCAGAGAGTACTTATTTTCATGAGGCGCCCATATCATTGCGCTGTGCTCCAAATGACTTCTCACTAATGCGTCATAAAGGGCCCGAACTGCAGAGATATTAGTGAAATCTCGCGTTTGTCTCAATAAAAATCCTAGATTTCTATACGCCTTCTTACAAATTTTCATTATGTTCTCACGGAACAACAACTCGGGGGTCATGTAAACTCCCAAATCACGCACCTGTGTGACTCGTTGCAGTGGTGTATTTTCAAGCCTGTATTCATGTAGCAGAGGTGATCGCGCGCGAGTGAAACTTATCGTAGAACATTTTGACTCGTTAAAATACAGCTTGTTTTCATGACTCCATTGGACTATCCTATCAATGTCATCCTGTAAGCACTTGCAGTCTGTTTCCTTCGTAATTTCTAGGAGCAACTTTAAGTCATCTGCAAATAATAAACAAGAGCTATGTTTGACGACTTGTGGTAAATCATTTATCATAATTAAAAATTCGAGAGGCCCCAAATTACTGCCCTGGCTTACTCCCGATCTCGTGTAATAGGGATCCGATTCCCAACCATTGTAGTCGACAAACTGCTTCCTATCTTTCACTGGCAAAAAACCGAACTAACTGTGGCTTGCACCCAATCTCAACTAGCTTCCTTAATAATATGTCATTATCGACGGTGTCAAATGCTTTTCTAAAATCAAAATAAGCGGCGTCAACCTGCACCCCAGCATCTACCGCTGGCACCAACCTTGTCATAAAGCTAAGGAGGTTTGTTGTTGCTGTGAGGTTTGTTGTTGTGACGACCCGGTCTAAATCCGTGTTGTGAGTCCGAGATCTGTCCATGTATCTGTGCCTGTAAGCTACGCTGCACAGCTGACTCAAACACCTTAGCCGGGGTTGACAACACTGCCACTGGTCTATACCCCTCAATGCTAGAACCTGCCTTACCTGGAATGACTCTGGTAATTTTCCAACGTGTCGGAAAAGTAGCTAAACTCAGGCATGTATTAAATATATACCACAATGGTTCTGCTAGTACTCTGCTACAGTCTTTAACAAGAAAAGCTGGTATACCATCCGGACCCGCTGATCGCTTGGCTTTTAAACATTCAAGGGCATTGCGTACGTCCTTGACAGTAAGCCGCTCCACCTCCACATCTGTATTGTTCCCTTTCTCCGCCGCTGCTGACGCTGAAGCCTCTTGTGGATCCAGTCGTGGCGGATCAGTACTATATACAGATTCAAAAAAGGCAGCAAACTGAGCGCATTCGCTATCCGATAGATATTTACCATCTTTAACAATGGGTCATCTCGCCATTGCACCTCGCTGCGATCTTATAAACTGCCAAAACGACTTTGGGTCTTTAGCAAACTGACATTGAATTTTACTTTTGTGTTGTAAGTAAGCAGTGTTTATTAATTTCTTAATATGCGATCTGAATTTAGAATAACTTGTATAATCTTTGTTGCTATTGTTTTGTTTAAACCTTTTGTGAAGTGCTGCTTTCGTTTTTAACCCACTAATTATTTCGGTCATATACCACACTATTTATGTTAGTCTGTAAGGTATCTATGGGCCATAGTTGCCTGAAAATAAAGTTTAAATAAAAAAAAAATACTCGTGGTGACAAAAAGCTTCCACCACCAGAGTGCTGGCGGCTAGCGGTAGGCAAATTCGAAACAACGCCGTCCCGGAACTGAGCCGGAGCTGCGCCGCAATTGCGTAATTCTTATCATATTTCATCGTTTTTCATGTTATGTATATATTTACAAATTAATATATTTACGTATAAATTAATAAGGGCATTAAAACAATGAGATCAATGATGTCCAAATATGTATATTAATCCAAAATATGATACGTAGCTACATAAAAAAATACAAATTACTACTATATTATTAAAAAAACAACCAATGAATATTACTGAGTCACAAACATGGGCAAAGGTGATTACTTATCACACCGTAATTAACTAGGTGTTCATTTTATTGAAAGTCTTTATTAATACGTCCTTATATTTAAACCATGTTGATGACAAGTGTGACTATCAAAGTGAAGAAGCTGAGAGAGACAATATTTGCAGAGTCGGGTTCAGGGGTAGTCGGAGGGCGTGGTAGGGTCAGAGATAGGTTCTTCGGTAGTAGTAGGTTCAGGGATAGTAGTAGGCGAAGTGGAAGGTTCAGAATCGGGTACTTCAAACCCTTCTTCAATATATCCTGTTCTGAAGTATTCTGCAAACTCCGGTAACCTTCTTGTATACCATTGCATGTTAGCTCTTGATGTAGCAATGCCGTGTCTAGCCACAGTAATTGCAGCAGCTGGGGGAGGAGTAGCCGAGGTCAACCAGGTCTCGACCTAAAGCAGTGCAATTCAACGATATTATTACACAGTCTTGAATAAAACTACTAATTAAAAAATAAATATGTAAATTCTAATGATTTATTTAATTGCCCTATTTTCAAGTTCAACTGCAAGATGTCAACATTCAAAACTGTCAGTATGATCAACATTCTCTAGTAACATATATTTTATAAAATACAAAATGCATCAGTGTAACTGGTGTTGAATCACTACATAGTATAAAACAAAGTCGCTATCCGTCGTCTGTCTGTCCCTGTGTATGCTTAGATCATTAAAACTACGCAACGGATTTAGATGCGATTTTCTTTATTAGATAGAGTGATTCTTAAGGAACGTTTATATAGGTATGTATAATACATACATATTGCACTCGTGCGAAGCCGGGGCGGGTCGCTAGTGTATAATATAACTGGCGATGCGTGTAATAATAAAATTTTTGGCGTGGCCCTAAACTATGATTTGCTCCTGTGTTTCGGATGCGTTTATCAACATACAAATTGGCACATACACATCACAGCTAGACCCGAATTAACAATTTATGGATCACAAAAAGATTTTCGGTGTGGGAATCGAACCCGGATCACGTTGCGCAGCAGTCTGTTGCTGTAGCTGCTGCGCTAACCGTTATAATATTGCAGCCACACTTTGTTCGTTGTGGCTATACTTAGTTTAGTTTTACCTCAGCGATTTGTGCCTCATTCAATAATCGGTTCGTTGCTACTTGTAAAAGAGATCTGCCATTTCTGCAACAAAAAACAAATTAAATTTAAACACTGTGTACAGCGGGATTTTTTAATCATTTTTGTCTATCTAGTGACACCGCCTACTATTTATTTTTTAAATATTGTACAGAATTTACACTTTTACAGTATTATTGTATGTACATATAGATACTATAGCAAGGTCTGTGAAAGCTTTTGCCATTTTGAAACGTCAAACCATTATTACCATTAGTAAAAATAGCTGTAGGGAAATACAAGTGAGAAACTTCTCCATTACTTTTCATAAATAAAATTAATACCATATGCTGTTTTAAATTATCTACTTATGTATATAAAACAAAATATATATGTTATGTGTCTAACCAGCTATTTAAACTGTCAAACACCAAGCGGTCACCGGTGACCGCGACCTATTGTTCTTTAATTGTGTCTATAAAACCGGTACTCGACGAGTTAATATACAATACTTACTCATGTTCCAGATGTTGAGGATTATTCCTAAGCCACCTAAATACTCTCATGGTATTGTATTCATTGCTACTGACAGCTGAGCTAATAGCAGCGCTGTAGTCCTGTGGTCTGATATCTTGTGTTACCGATGTGTCAACGATTATGTTGAGGAGCTTGTGTAAGGCATTTTCATTTCCTGTGCAACCGGCTGCATTGATCATCACAACTTTCTCGTTAGATAGGTCTTCAGCCAAGTAACGTTGCCAGAAATAGTCGAAATCTGCCTCGTTTCCATTACGAAGACCACCACAATATACCCAAGGGCGCATATTTGGCGGAATTCTGAAAAGTAAAAAATACATCATTGTTATTAACATCTAATCGTAACATTGCATCACGCGCGAATGGCTGGACCGCCTGTGCTACTAATGAAAATATATCAGTTTCAATATAAAATGAAGTTATTTTGTCTGTCTACAATGGTCCAATTTCTATGAACAATTTATTAAAGTCAAAGTTAAAGTCAAAATCATTTATTTCAATTAGACCAAAAAGGCACTTTGAACGTTAAAACAAAATATTTAGAAATTAAATAACAAGAAAAAATGACAGTCTGTAGGTCAGTCCTCTAGTGAAGCTATTTGCTCGTTCTAAAGTGTAGATTCCTATGGAGAAGAACGAGCAAGAAACTCCATAGGTTACTCTTTTTCAATTATGTTCACAATACAATTTTTGGTTACAATCTTTCGTTGAGTTCAATAATGTGAGAACAATGTAAAACCAATATTTGGTCAAGAAGACGAAAAAAAATAACCTTGAGGACAACAAATTTAATACAGTCTGGAGCTAACCACTCCCATTTGACATCGCCCGTTCACGAACATGACACGTACACCAGCACCGCCCAACTCAACCATGTTGTAGGGAATCGAGCGATCCACTGCCCACGAAACTCGAAAGTCACCAATGAGACTTTTGAGTGAGCATGACAACTCTAAGCTGACTGATACACATGCATTCTACTAGTCTAATTTAATTTAGTTAGTTACAGGGTTCTCACATTTACAATAATTATATAAAGTTTGACAGTGTATATTTGAACAAAATGGCTGTATTATTGCATTATTGGAACTCATTGGAACATCAATGTTTTTCGTTATCCTGTGGAGCCGTACCAGCCTGCCTTCAAGCATTTTTATCCTCTATGTAATCATTAAGTTTGTAATATACTTTTCCACATAACGTTTTTTTAATACACATATAATTTAAATTTTGACTCATTTAAGTGTTGTATTTCCTCCGGAATTTTATTATAGCATTTAATACAGAATCCCATAAAGGACTTTTGTACTGTTGACAATCTAAATAGTGGCTAACTTAATCTATGTCTAGTTTGATAGTGGTGTCTGTCAGATACTTTACCGAACAACTGTAGGTTTTTCCAAACATACATAATGTTTTCATAAATAAATTGATATGAAACGGTCATAATATTGATCTCCTTAAACTTTTCTCTGAGAGATTTGCGACGACCTAGGTTGTAGATAGCTCTGACGGCGCGCTTTTGTAAGATAAAGATAGACTCAATGTCAGCAGCGTGTCCCCACAGCAAAATGCCATACGACATGATGCTATGGAAGTAACTGAAGTACACTAGTCTTGCCGTGTCTATGTCGGTTAAATGTCGGATCTTCCAGACAGCATAAGCTGCAGAGTTTAATCGTCCCGCTAAAGATGTACATAATATGAGGACCCCATTGCAATTTGTCATCTACAGTAATTCCCAGGAATGTCATAATATGTCACATACGTTACTTCTAACATTTGGCAAAACAAATCTAATACATTTCATTTTCTTATCGTTTAGCACTAAGTTATTTATTGTAAACCAATGTTGAACCTTCATCAGAGCATTTTTACGTCGTCATAATTATTTGTTCGTCTATTTATTTTAAAAACTAATGATGTGTCATCAGCAAATAATACAATATGTGGTTCATTTTGAAAAAAATAGGGCAAATCATTTATATATGTTAAAAATGGGAATGGACCTAGTATTGAGCCCTGCGGTACGCCTATAGACATGCTAGCACCCTGTGAGTTTACCTTATTTACTGAACTTTAAGTTGCCTATCCTGAAGGTATGACTTTAACAGATTCAGCGATACACCCCGAATGCCGTAGTGTTCTAGCTTCAGCAATAGAGTCTCGTGTTCAACACAGTCGAATGCCTTCGAAAGATCGCAAAATATTCCGATGGCATCCCGTGCTTCTTCCCACGAGGCAAAACCCCGCTTAATTAGTGCTACCCCGGCATCAGTCGTGCAGCGTCCCTTGGTGAACCCGTATTATCCGTATTATATAATACATATTATGTTGCGTTCATCTGGTTGACTCTGCTATTTAATTAATATATATTTTTTTAAAGCGTCAATTTATTTACTTAAATAATAACAAATGTAATTATGCGATTCTTACCTTGTCCCATTAAATCTCCATGCTTGGAAGCTTTGTGTGGCTGCTTCGGAACATTGCTCGTGTCCAGCATTGCAAAGGAAGGTCATCACATGCATACGAAGCAAGTCATCCATGAAATGACTATTGGCTCCCTCGTTAAAACCGAGACGCTGGACAATCGCCGTGCTCGATTGAAAGATGATGTTCTAAATGCCGAATAAAAGTTAATTAAACCCTTAATGACTGCCTCGTTGGCCGAGTGGTCGTAAGTGTGACTGCCGGGCAAGGGGTCTCGGGTTCGATTCCCGGGTCGGGCAAAGTATTACTGGGTTTTTAAAACAAACTCAGTAGTAGCACGGAGTCTGTAATTGTGGCGCTCACTTCCTATTACATGGGACTCATAACATAAATAGTGAAAAGTGGGTGTTACTTTTATGTGCACCTCTGCCTAGCCCTTCGGGGATAAAAGCGTGTTGTTATGTTCTATTAAACAATATTTATAAGACCGTTTTAGCATTACTTTTTTTATTTAGTATCTTAAATAGATTTTACCTTTAAGTTTTCACGCTCATTATCGTCGTGAGCCAATCTCCGAAGCGCAAAGTTAAATCCTGGAATAGCAGCTGCCCAAGGAGCGTACTTGTCTTCAAATTCGAGGAAAGAAAGAATGTTCAACGCTCTCGTGTAAGACATGATGCTAGATCTGGCTAACACGAACACGTCATCCACGATCTGAATAAAAAAATACGTTACTTTATAAGATACAAATAAATCTTTGAACAAATTGCTAGTTTTTGGTGATTAATCTTTAGCAAATACACTAATAATTAAAATAATAAAAAATAAAAACCGTAAAACGGAGATTTTCGTCTCTTAAAAAGATTTTACAATCTCAACAGTATGAACTTAATTAGCCAATCCTGTAAATATACAATTAATATTAACTATTACTAAATAAAAATATATACAACTTAAAATATAAATAATTATGAACTAAAATATTAATTAAATAGGGCCCAAGTGCACATCTTCTTTACAAAGATATTGTAAGGAGGATGGTTGACACTTCAGGTGATCGAAGGGCTGGCTTCTACCTTGGACAAAGGTTAAGCATTGCCATTCAACGTGGAAATGATGCCAGTCTTTTGGGCACGCTACCTCACGATAACGATGAGGAATTATTTTTTTTTGATACCTTATTATAACTTATTTATTATTATTAAAATAATTGAATTAGGATTTCACGTCCCATAATACTAATTATTTTTATAACATTAGGTATCTCACCTGAGCGCGGTTGTATTCGTGTATGACTTCCCTGTTGTCACTTCTTAAAGCTAGAGTAATGAGCGCCCACGTAGACGGGTCGTAGTTTACTCTGTAGAAACCTGGAATATTTTTTTATTTATTTACAGTCAACATTGTTAAAAATATTAATTAGACAATAATTAATTTTCATTATAAGCAATAGTTTCCTAAAACATCATACCAGATTGTTGTTTGTTGAAAATAACCCATTCTCTTCCGGTACTTCCTCGGTCGATAACTTTTAGTGGGCCGCTCATGAACTCAGAAGGCTTAAGGTTATTAAAATCGGGATTTTCAGCCCTAGTCCAAGTTAAAGGAATGTCCCATAAACCATTACTCGAAGCCACACCATCGTTAACATCAAATTGAGTCTAAAAGGTTAAAAAATTAAAAACATTTGTAGAAATTCATTATTTACAGAGCAAAGGGAGCGATATTTAAACTTTTGTAATTTGTTACTTACTTGTACAACAGTCATACGGCCGCTAACATGATCTACATTAACTGTCAATAGAGGATGCCCTGCTTTATCGGACCACGATTTGAAGTACCGAGCAATTGTCATGCCATCGTAAGCATCCAAAGCATTGCCAGCCGCAGCATCTAAATTTCTAAATAAATCCTCTGGCGTGGCGGTAGTAAAAGCTCTGAAAATTAATTTAAAATAAAAATACCAGATTTGATTCTGTTCTGTTCAATTAAAGTTTCAATATGGATTGAAATGTGATCATACCTATCCTTTAAATAAGCCTGAAGACCCCTCTGATAAATATTTTCACCAAGTAGATGTTGTGTCATTCTAAGTATGGAGGCACCTTTAGCAAAAGTGATGGTTGAAAAGTGATCTCTCACTGAATCTGGATCTGACACGTCGGGGTTAGTAAGAGCATGAGCTGATGCGAAGGAGTCGGACAGCATGGCGACTTGCAACTGTTCTACTATAAAACGTGTGCCATAACCCATCTCTGGTTCAGCCTAATAGCAAAAAGTAAACAAGTAAATCTTTTATTAATAACGAAAACTAGAGATTAAACTTGTAGACATGGGTTAAACAATTGACGAGTTGTTTGGTCGGCCTTAAGATAACGTACAAAAGTTGTGTTTTCAGAATTGGAGCCATACTTTTTTACCATAGGTATAATTTGTATCTAAAATCCAACTATAATCTTACCCTACATTAAAAATATTTCCTAGTATAATTGATAAATCATTATAAATCATAGTTAGGATCATTGTACTCGTATCTTTAAATTCCATTTGCGAATATTTTTTATCGAATCCCGATTAATATTTATTAATGCAATAATAACATCTGCTGACAATCATGAAATAACATATCTACTATAAAAACTATGTAAGATATCGTAATTCACGAGGTCATTAAGTTTATCCCGGTACATACTCAATTTACTAGCTTTCTGAATTAGAAATAATGAATGTATTACCTCGTGCGTCAAGTAGTACTGGTAGAACCTAGCGAAACCTTCGTTTAACCAAAGTGTATCCCACCAATCGCATGTGACGAGGTTACCGAACCACATGTGTGCAATTTCATGAGAAATAATGTTTGCTATGCGTTGTTTGTACCAATTGTTGCTGTTTGCAGGATCGTACAGAATAAGAGCTTCTCTGTAAGATCAAAAGAAATTGTTAGGATACCTCAAATAATACAGTTTTTAGAAAAAACCAACTAAAGTTATTATAAGTGAAAATATGTGACCTTTAATAAGGTTAGGTTTCCTAGATCTCTAAAAAATGTAACGTCTTTTTAATTTTGTAAACGTGACCTCATCGCCTAACTAAGTCAAGTCAATTTTTGGGTAATGCACAGATACTATGACAATTAAAATTCTGAGAATTAATTGCCTGATAGTCCTAGTAAGCCTTAATATTAATAAGAATAAAGTGGCACCACACTAAAATTGTCTCATATTATGTCGAAAGTTCTGGTAAATATAATTATCTATTTAAATACCTGTAGGTCAATAGGCCCCAGTTTTCCATAGCACCAGCGCTAAAGTCAGGGATAGCAGCTTGCTTCATTTCCATATTATCAGCCATTGTGTAATAAGGGTAGGCAGTGTACGTTTCCATTAAACTCAGAAGCTTTTCACCAATTTCCAGAGAATATTTGCCTGTATCTCCAATATTATTTCGAGCAAAGATACGGAATGGTCTTTGACTATTTGTTCCAGTTTCCACTGGTATGTAATTGGATACTATGAATGCCAGCAAGTATGTGGACATGATAGGAGTAGTATAGAACGTTTCTGTTATTTTCCCAGCAATTATAGAACTGAATAAAAAAATATTGAAAGTAAATAAGTCTTATTAAATACTTAAATATTGAAAGTAATTATGAAAATATTGTTTAATAAGTGACTAAAAGCAAACTAGAGTCTTATACAGTAATCCATTATACAAAACTTCTTTATGTCGCTGTCACATTACATTTTTTCAAACTTTTACCATTTATTGTGCAGAAGAGCTCATAAGAGCTTATAATGTAAAGTATTGTATACTACCAGGTACCATACTTTTTACCAAAATAACCCTGTTGTTATGTACAGGTCCAATTCCGCAATCTGTTCTATTAAAACGCCAATAATACTTTGCCCAACCCGGGATCGAACCCGAAAGTCCTCGACAGAAGCATTTGCGATCACTCGACCAATTAGACAGTCGAGGATACGAAATCTCATTGTAGGTAATTTATGGACTAGTGACTTTTTCTTCTCCTCTATTAATAATTAATATCTTCTGAAATTTCGTTGCAGGACCCAAGACAATTAATCATGTTCATGAGACCCTCCAGACTTCAGTATTCCGGTGATTTCCTGGTTTAATCTACTGTAGATACTGACTTACAGGTGTTGCAGCAGTGTTAGGAGGTGGTAGCGGGCATGTCCCAAAAAAAAATTAGTGACTAGACTAAAAATAATGATTATAAGATCTTACGTAAGAGCATCATTTATGGGCATGTTTGATAACGAAGGCTGGGTATGTTCAGCGTCTCTAACCAGTGTTATATCGAATTTAGCTTTGAAACTAGGTTCATCGTAGCAAGGGAACGCTTGACGAGCATGACCAGGTTGAAACTGTGTCGTAGCCATCCATCTGGAAAGAAAATATACATAATTATTATATGTGTCAGGTTAAAAAAAAGAATTGAATATTCATTTTTTGTGTTTATTATACTACGCAGACATAGGTTCTGTAAAATATTTATCCGCTCTTACCACGAAATCGAAATCATATGCATTGTTTTCAATCATACGTGCTTCCACTCACTTTTCTATAAACTTTATGTCTGTTTTCTTCAGGACAATTTTATGACATTTCATGGTATAAAAATCAGTCGTATGTCAACTTTGTAAATAGTAATTTTTAGTTTTCTTTTTTTTTATTATTTTTAGTGTATCTTAAGTAATAGTTAGCATTTATATTATTTAAGTTATTTGTCAATATAAGTTCCTCGTAGTATGAGAAAAACCGTAAGTACGGTTTTGGACCCCTTGCTAATGTCGTACGTCATACGCACGCTATTTCAATAATCAAACTCAGTGTAAAAGTAACTAAAATCAAGGGTTACTCACGTGAATATACTGAGAAAACTAGTTTCGAACCACTGAGGGGTTCTTCCTCATGAGCAGCGTGCGCGGCGACGTCGCGCAGCTCACTGGCTGGCGTTGGAAACTAGTAGAGCTTTTCTCAATATATTTACGTGAGTAACCCGCGATTTTAGTTAATTTCGTATATCTCAGTCTAAAATATTTGAATCGACCTAAGATTTTGACATCGACGAATTAAGATCGGTTATTGATATTGGCAGTTATTCGATGGACGATTGCACGCATCTTACGTAGAAAAAAGCAAAATTGTGTCCGGTGTGGCAACGTTCCGTCACTCACTCTTCATACATCCATCTATCGGTATTTGTAAGCTAAATACTTCAAATGACACGCGATAGTCAATAACCTTTCGGGTTAAACTCACATTAACCTACCGTAATTACAAATCATAAATCAGTATCTTACCTCCTCTGCCCAGAGTTATCGACGTACCAACTTCTGTAGAAACCTCTCATATCTGTTTGTAGTGTTCCAGTAAATGACATCTTGACGATGTAATCAGTGTTAGGATTTAGATTGGATGTTGAAATCTTTAAAAAGTCAGTGTTTGCTTCGCATGTGAACGACTGTGACGGCTGAACAAGGTTTGTAACGGGAAGGGTAGTTGTATCTAAGGAAACGGACACACTGCTTGGTGTAATAGTCAATCCTCTGCAATGAAGTTGGATTTCGTTGACTGCAACTGCTCCAACTTTAATTTTTATTTCGACATCACCCGAATACTCAAAATTTTGCAAATTTGTATCCAGTTTGACTTTGTAATTAATTGGTTTCGTGGTTGTTGGTAACCGGTAATTGGGGTCGCTCAACAGGTTCATGTATTCGATCCATTCGGCATCCGTCACATCGATGGGGCCAAACGCCAGTACAGACTGGAGTAAAATTACCCCCAATATGAGGTTAAACCAGCGACTCGCCTAAAAAACAAACAATGTATGTAAAACGTTCCTGATTTTTTTTATAACGTTGCCCCACTCTAGGATTTTCTCCTATATCGTGCATTTACAAACATACAAGTTCACATACACATGAAACCCAGACCCGGAACAACAACCTGTGGATCACACAAACAGTTGTTCCGTGCGGGAATCGAACCCGGGACACGTTTCACGGCAGCCAGCCCAACCACCGCGCCCACCATGTAGTCTATTATATATCCGTAGATTGATACGAGATTATAAATACTATGTATTACATATTAAGTGTGGGAGAGCCATGCTTGAGCACGCATGGGCCGGCTCGACCAGAGTGACACCACGGCCTCACAGAAAACCGACGTGCAACAAATTTAATTTGCGTTATGTTTCGTCATATGAGTGACGCTACCGGAGGCCGAAATACACCCCCCCCCCTCCCTAATCTCCCCAATACCCGAATCCCCAACAATTCTCAAATTCCTAATCCTCAAAAGGCCGGTAACGCACTTGTATCACCTCTGGTATTCCGGGTGTCCACGGGCGGCACCGATTGCTTACCATGATGAGATAATCCAGTAAACGAGTCTCGTAAAAAAAATCCTGATATTAACCCATAAAAAAAGACGGCCTCGTTGGCCGAGTGGTCGCAAATGCGACTGGCGGGCTAGGTATTTAAAAAATCTTAGAAGGTAGTAGCACGGACTCTAAATTGTGCCCGGTATATGACAATAGGCTCACCCCCTATTACATGGGACTAATAACATAAATAGTGAAAAGTGGATATTACTTCTGTGTGCACCTCTGCCTGCCCCTTCGGAGATAAAAGGTGTGATGTTATGTTATGTCTAAAAAAAAGTCAAATTTCCATGAAAAAAAATCCTGAGATTAACCCATTCAACCAAACAAACCGCTTTATAGTGTTATTAATTAAAATTCATAAATCATTCCACAGTATTGCTGTGCGAGGCAGAAGGCATCATGAGAAGCGCACAGTTATGGCCTGCCAACCATCTATATGGTGGGGATGTATATTCTGTCGTGAGGGTCGATGGCGAAAAGATGCGGCAGGTATCAGGTCAAACAATTCCTCAGAGCAGTACCCGTGGTATAAGCGATAGAAAATGCACAACGAGGCTACATCTCTACGCATTGCCAAAGGGTCTAGCCGGTTCGAAACATCCCGACATCCAACAATCCGAACGGCACGCCGCTGAACGCGGTCCAAAGGAAGAAGCTGGTAATGGAGTGCCCTCGCACCTATGCCATATATATAAGCAGGAGGTGGGCCGGGGTGAAATACTGCCTCGATCTGTTGACCACACCAAGCTTCCTCGAGGCTAATTTGGCCTTATCCTCTAGATGACCGCGAAACTGGACGTCGCTCGAAATGCTGACACCAAGTATTGCAATACTGGCTGAGGCAGTTAGGGGTATGCTTTGAAACTGAAGAGATATGAACAACGGCAGTTTTTAAGCGGTAAATACGCAGACCTGTGTCTTAGTGGGGTTAAACTGGACTAAATTAAGTCCACCCCAATCAGAGATGCTCCCTTAAGAAGTCTCGATTTCAGACACGAGTCTGTTTCGGCTCTCTATGACGTTTTCCCGAGAAATGTTAGCGCGGCCGGTGTAGTAGGCATCGCCTATGCTGTCATCCGCATAACAATGAATGCCGCTGATTTGCAGCATGTCATTGATATGCATAAGGAACAATGTAGGCGACAACACGCAGCCTTGAGGGACGCCTGCGTTTACAGACTGCAAGTCAGAGCATTCACCGTCAACAACAACCTTAATGCTTCTGTCTGCAAGGAAGCAAGAGACCCATTCGCATAATTTCTCGGGAAGCCCGTAGGAAGCGACGAGCCACGTCCAAACTTACTGCCAACGCCTCCCCCTTAGAGTCGATCGCCTGTGCCCACCGGTGCGTTATGTAAACTAAAAGATCATCAGCAGCCTTTACGAAAGCCGTATTGCTGGTCGCTGAGCAGCTGATGATTCTCTAAGTGACGCAGGAGCTGGCAGTTAATAATGGACTCCATTATTTTCGAGAAGAGGGAAGTTATGGCTATCGGTCTGAATTGATTGATCGTCGTGAATGGAAATCCGACCTTATTCTTTCAACATTTAAAGAACAAAACTGTACTAAGCTGTTTTATCTCGGGAGTAATTGTGCACATTTGTGTTAAGTGTTGCGTCATTACGCAACACTTTTATAATGTAAAAGAATAATTTCAAAGTACTTCTATAAAGAAATTTATATTGAATATTTTTTAAATAATTATAGAAAATCATCAAAAGCTACATACCATTTTGACGCTGGCTCGAAAGCGAATAACAAAGCAGTATAATTTATCTATATCGATACCCTCCGGTACTTTTATTTTATCCAAATTACAACTTATTAAACCAATGATAAATATTATCTAGATAGCAGGTCGCTATTAATTTATTTTCAAAAAGGTAAACGTGCAACCAAAAACCAAAAATTCCAAGGAAACGTGATCATGTTTTTATTTAGATACATAATTAACTAGCTTTTGGCTGCGACTTCATTGTACTTTAGGAGAAACAATATTTAGAATGATTTATTGATTTATTTATTTATGTACACACATTCAACACAGAGAACAATACATAATATAAAAATAGAGTACATAGGCCCCACATACTCCAAATGGAATTTCTTCCTGTGGGCCTATGATGTTTATAACAATTAAATGTCTAATTATTATTTAAAATAGTTAGAAGTCTTATCGGTAGTATTTTAAAAGGGCTCGATACTAGGTCCATTCTTATTTTTAGCGTACATAAATGACTTGCCCCATTTATTTAAAAATGAACCGCAGATGGTATTATTTGCTGATGACACTTCATTAGTTTTTAAAATTAATAGACGCACAAATAGTTATGACGACGTAAATAATGCCCTAATGAAAGTTCATAATTGGTTTACATTAAATAACTTAGTACTAAACAATAAAAAGACAAAATGTATTAAATTTTTTTGCCAAATGTTAAAAGCAACGATTGTGACATATTATTGAATGGTGAGAAATTAGAGTTTGTAAAAGAGACAACTTTCCTGGAATTACTGTAGACGACAAATTGCAATGGGGTCCTCACATTACATCATTAGCGGGACGATTGAGCTCTGCAGCTTATGCTGTCTGGAAGATACGACAGTTAACTGACATAGACACGGCAAGACTAGTGTATTTCAGTTACTTTCATAGCATTATGTCGTATGGCATCTTGCTGTGGGGACACGCTGCTGACATTGAATCTATCTTTATCTTACAAAAGCGCGCCGTCAGAGCTATCTACAATCTAGGTCGTCGCGAATCACTCAGAGAAAGGTTTAAGGAGATCAACATTATGACCGTTCCATGTCAATTTATTTATGAAAACATTATGTATGTTAGGAAAAACCTACAGTTATTTGGTAAAGTGTCGGACAGACACCACTATCAAACTAGACATAAGAATAGATTAAGTCAGCCAATTTCGAGATTAGCGAAAGTAAGTAAGTCGTTCATGGGATTCTGTGTTAAATGTTATAATAAGATACCAGGCGATGTACAACAACTAAATGAATCGAAATTTAAATTATGTATAAAGAAAACTTTATGTAGACAAGCATATTACAAACTTAATGAATATATAGAGGATAAAAATGCTTGGATGCAGGCTAGTCCGGCTCCACAGGATAACTAAAAACACTTGTTTTAATGAAATCGTAAATAATACAGCCATATTGCTAAATTGTATATTGTTTAACTTAGATAACCATTGTAAATGTGAGAGCCCTGTAATTAACTTAATATTAAATTAGATTAGTAGATTTCATTTGTGTCAGCTTGGGAGTTGTCATGCTCACTCAAAGGTCTCATTGGCGGTGGCGCGTGCAGTGGATCGCTCGATTCCCTACAACATGGTTGAGTTGGGCGGTGCTGGTGTACGTGTCATGTTCGTGAACGGGCGCCGTCAACTGGGACTGGTCAGCTCCAGACTGTATTACTGTCCTTAAGGTTATTTTCTTTTTTGATCACTTTGACTGGATTTTAGTGTTACATTGTTCTCGCACAATCCAAACAGCAAAACTATGTAACTAGTAAATTGTATTGTGAACCTGATTGAAAAAGAGTAACCTATGGAGTTTCTTGCTCGTTCTTCTCCATAGGAATCTACGCCTTGGAATGAGCAAATAGCTTCACTTTAAATTTTTGTTTTTGTTGACGTTCAAAAGTGCCATTCTGGCCTAATTGAAATAAATGATTTTGACTTTGACTTTGACTTTGAATACACGAATATTATTTTAATTTTCTTATATCTACTAATATTTTTTCAATTCTTTGTAAATTAGCTAGAAATGTACCTAAAGCTTTTTTCATATTAAAATTATTTATTCATATCTATTAATTATCTGTTTAATTCTATACTTTATATGTAGGTATGTATTATTCGTATCTAGTGGTTTCATCCAAACCCGACCCAACCGGTACTTTAAGATTTCCAGACAAACGGTATTCCATTCAATGTATATAATAATGTAGATTGTACCTATATAAATGCAATTTAATGATCCATTTCCTTTATGTATTTTATTATAATACTAGTTTCTACCTGCGACTTCACCCACCGAAATGTAGACCTGCACCTGCACTGAATTCAAAATAAGAATTTTGAGTTGTACACAGAATGTTAAGCTGAAAAAAGAGAAATATGCATCTGTGAAAACCGCAAACGAATCGGATGAGTAGTTTCATGTGATGCGCGTGTAAACATAAAGACAGACACACAGAAAAAAAAATCGACTCACGTTCTTGGGCTCTACATCGATCTACCTATATAAATAAATAAAAATGACTTTCCGTTCCTTAGTAAAACTCGAAAACAACTGAACCGACATGGATAATTTCGGTCTTGAAATTTTCGTGGAAGTCCAGGGAAGGTGAGAAAATATATTTTATACGTTACGGAGTCAGCTAGTTATTATTAAATATCCTAAATAGCTTTAATGTACAAAAGATACGTAGTTTTATTATTATATGTATAGATGCATATTTTCAGTAATCGTGTGTGAATCAGGTAATTATCAGTGGCAAGTTGTTATCCTCGTAATTACAAGATATAGAATGTATTCTAATATAACGACTAAACGAACGAACTATGACTATAATTGTTTGAGGTGATATTACTTACAGAGTATCAATTTTAATTAACTTCAGGCCGCCTCATGGCCGCGACACGATCTCCGGCCACCGTAAGCACGGGCCTGCGCACGGCAAGCACGGTGACTCGCCGCCCGATCAAATCCAGACCAGAGCGTACGGCGTGTGGTGTTCCGCGCGCCTTAAAGACCCATCAGACCACCAGACCCAATAGGACTAATGCCGATACGGAGACGCGGAGGACTTAACGGGTTGCTGGGGCTCCGGCTCGAAGTGCAGGAGTAGGAACGAGCTGGTTTTTAGTCAGTGAAGGATCTGACACTCCCTCTTGCCATCGTGAGAAGCCATTGGATAATTTTATCCCGTAAAAAAGGCGCCTTATAATAGTATCTTAATTTACTGTTTAATTTCTCTGCAATTTTATTTTCTTTATCTTCTTGGATAGGAACCCCTGATTGGGTATAGGCCTCCTCCAGTTTGGTCCAGCTATCTCTGTCTTGAGCTGTTTTTATCCACTTCAGCTGTAGCTACTATGTCTTCACTCCATCGTTTTATAGGTCGTCCTTTTCGTTAACTTCCACTAAGGCCTTTCCATCTTCACTTCATCCATTCGCTTCTGCTGTCCAGCGAATGTCTCTGTAGTGTGCAACATGACCAGCCCATCGCCATTTTAAACCAAGACTGTAATGTATACTCACGGACTGAAGTGGGCTTCCAATATGAAAACACTTTTGCATAGCAATATTAGTGGCGCTTGTGGTCTTTTACATTTCTAATATTAGCGTCGTTATTAAAATGTGAGGGTAGATATGAAACAAATTGATAAGTTCGCTTTACACGCTGCAGTCTTGTAACTAGCTTTATAACGCGGCTCAACACACAAACTCAAACACTTACTTATAACTTAGTACTTATTCAGCAGGATATGCATTTAGTATTACGAATTACGAATCAGCTGATCAGCCTATCAGCAGATAACTACTGTAGGTATTTACGCGGAATATGAATTCAAGACTAGGATAGAACAATATGAATCAATCGATCAAATTTAATACACGAATATAATTTTGAACTGAACATACACGCGTTTAAACTTAAAATCATGCCCGCAAACAGCTGAGCACTTGATTCCTACCTACTTACTTAGCTATGAGTTTTCATTATTCAGAACTTAAAAAACTAACTTTATAATTTATTAGTATTCATCAGACTTGCAATCAAAAGTTAAAAGTAAAGCAACACACAGTGTTATGAATCAGCTGATGACTAACATTGGTACCTGAACATACATGAATTTTTGATGACGTGTCGTACTTTTATTGATTGTTTTGTTCTTTGCTACATTCTGACCTTTGTTTCTGCATTCAAGGATTATTAAAAATGTAATTATCAATTTTTTCTTCAGAAATCATTTAACAATTTTAACAACATTTAAACAATTTTAACACATAAAAAAACCTGAGAGTTCAGTGGTTACCTGGAACATTGTAAACTTTATATTCAGATATTTAAAAAAATATAAAGTATTGCATTAAATAATGTGTAAAAACATTAATGCTGAGACCGAACCTACGACCAGTCATCATCAACCTAATGCAATAACCATTACGCCAAACTTGTAATTACAAGATAAAGTGTAATAATTGATGTTACTCAAAACTATATTATATTTATTGATATGATTATGTAGTATGTAGCTCTCGATCGTTCATTATTCGATTTGTTCAATGTTTGTTACGTATTATTTAAAAATAAAAGGTTAAATATAAATATTTAACCTTATTTTAATTTACACTCATTTAATGAATTAATACATATTATACCGTCACTAAAATAGGTAATATTAAATACCAATGTGTGTGTGATGGACGAATGTTTTATGCACACTAATATAAAATTATTTACGCATAGCCGTGTGAACATCACTCACACGGTTAAATATACGTGTGCATGTGTGTATAAGCGTTGCAGCGCAAACGATAGTAGTCATTACGGTGGCATTCGACTTTGACCTTTGACTGTACATTGGACATCGATGAGCCCTGTCCTTTTTCGGATCAGCTAATTATCAGATATTACTAAGAAATCAGTAACAGGCTGTACAATAACTCAAAACTGCAATAAAAAAGGTCATATATGCGATCAAATAGTCGAGAATTTCCTTTAAGAATTTCTATACTCGACAACGTCAACGACAATGTACATATGTACCATATCATTTGATTTCATAATGCCTGTACTCCTCTGGAATATGGAT